AGAAGGTCACAGTTATGACAGGCTTATATCTAAGTTAGTCCCTGGGTGCCAACAAAACTCTTGAGAACTGGCAGTCTGCAGAACAGCCTTTAGCCTGGACTGCTAGTGTTTCAAGCTGGAAAACTGTTATCTCTAGAAGTGCTGGAACTGGAGACCATAATGCCTCTATTCCCCTCTGATAACCACTGATAACAACTTGATAGAAAGGAAAATCTGAAGACTTTAGATCAACAATGGTGGCCTGGCTCCTGTTGGAAGCCATCATGCCACATCAGGTGTCTATGGTTAGTTCCTTCAGAGCACACCAGTGGTCTTATAAAAACTGGATTCATAGTGATGGATGGATTCATGGATTCAAACTGAGTGGTGAGCAGCTGAAATTTACACCTGGGAGTGCAGTGAGAGGAGTTTAAATCTCCTATCTTAAGGAGTGAGATGTTAGACTACAAGCCTCAGTAGACATTATTTCCCAGCACTTGTTAAGGTTCCTGAGAGCATTTATGATCTCCAGCTCCTACAGGAGAGGGTCAGATAGAGTAGCACCTCCTTAATACCTCCCTGCAGTGTGTATGTGTAACCTGAGCACCCTTTCAGTGAATTTTAATGACAATAATGGGCCAAGGAAATTCAGCTTCTCAGAAAAAAAAAGCAACCCACCTACTACAATTGAGCCTAGGCACTGTGGATTGTGTCTTGAATCAACAGTAAAATTTGCTTTGACAATGAGAGAAGGCACAGGCTTGTAATGAGTATAATCACTGTCTGCCCACTTGTGCTGTCCTTAGAATCACAGAACATTAAAGCTGGAAAAGACCTCAAGAATAATGATTCTTGAGTCCAACCACTGACCAAACACCACCACATCAACCAGACCATAGCACCAAGTGCCACGTTCCGTCATTTCTTGAACACTTCCAAGAATGGTGACTCTACCATCTACTTTGGCAGCCTGTTCCAATGCTTGACCACCCTTTCAGCGGAGAAATTCTTCCTGATGTCCAACCTGAACCTCCCCTAGTGCAGCTTGAAAGCATTTTCTCTTGTCCTGTCTCTGGTTCCCTGGGAGAAGAGGCTGAACCCTGGCTACAGCCTCCTTTCAGGTGGTTGCAGAGAGAGCTAAGGTCTCCCCTGAGCCTCCTTTTCTCCAGAATAAACAAACCCAGCTCCCTCAGCTGTTCCTCACAGGACTCAGTCTCTAGGTGCTTCACCAGCTTCACTGCCCTTCTCTGGACTCACTCCAGCCCCTCAATGTCTTTCATGCAGTGAGGGACCCAAAACTGGGCACAACACTCGAGGTGTGGCCTTACCAGTGCTGAGTACAGAGGGGCAATCGTTTCCCTAGTCCTGCTGGCTATTTTTTATATATAGACTGCTTAGTAATAGCAGTTACAAATTTAGTGAGAATACTGTGCATTTATATTTTCACAGTTATCAAATGTACATTTTACCACTGTCTCTTCAGAAGCCCCTAACAGAGCAAAGCATCTTGGAGACAGGATGTGCTAGTTGTACTATACGACTGAAATTTTAATTAAAAGTTCTACAGAAGAGAAAAAGATAGAAATAAAAAACCTGTGTCACACGGAGTCCCAGTGTCAGATAACATGAAATGAAAAAGTCAGGGTTTGTAAGACATAAATGAGGATAACAAAGGTGTTCTATCTTAGTAAAGACTTTTATTCTGTGCTTCTTTCCTCCTCTTCAGGACATAAAGAAACAAAAGGATGCAGCAGACACAAGGCAATGAAAGCAAACAAGTGAACAGAGCAGCTCCAGTTAGACCTAAGTGAGGGTTAAAAGGTAGCTTGGGTGCAGATATGGAAATTCTCCATCATTATTAAAAGCCTAAGGTTTGTCTTTGTATTTTGTTGCAACTTCATTTCAATAAGTACATTTTAAAGAAATAATATGTATTTAGTTCTCAGTCAAATTCCACAGATCAACCACACAGTGAGACAGTTCACATGCTCTCAGCACTTGGGTACTTCACCTTGTTTGAAGTGCCCAGCTCTCCCGTAAGAAGAAACACAGGAAACACAGTTCAAACTACATGGCAAAATCTAAGAACTGGTGACTCAGAGGATGAAAAGAGTGACCAATGACAGCCACAAAAGTTTTCTGGTAAGAGGAAAAACCATATTGAGCCCACCTGAACGCACAGGTCTTGAGGCAGTTTATGACACTGACTTGTATCTAGCAGAGTGAGGCTGGCACATTTACAGCCAAGCCAAGAAATTGCCTGGTGGCCCTGTCCAACACCTAATGTCTAATCCTCTACTTGACAAACCTGGATCTTGCCAAGGGGTGTACCTTGGCTGTGGCCTCAGTGTTATGGCAGGAGCATGGATATGAGATCCAGCCTCAGCACAGCCCCATGATTGCCCAGTGCCAGGGGCAGTGCAATCATAGTGTCAATCTGCACATCTCTCCCAGGAAGAGTCCTGGAGTCGTGATATTAGAAACAGTTAAGCCTGACTAAATCAGGCTCTTTGCAAAAACAAGATGTTTTTGGATACCGAAGGTGTGCTTGCTTTTCTTTCACATTACAACCTCCCTTTTACTTTTAAAATATGTTACATTTTCCCACATAGTCCAATTCAACATACTAATTGCTACCACTAGCCTATTGAGTGCTGCTAAATACACCATTCTGCTAAAGGAAAAGATATGATGGACTACATTTATTTGGTATCTGCCATTTGAACATTATAATACAGTTAACAGATTTGTAGACCATTCATAATAGCATGTTTTGTTGGGCTTTTCTGTAACAGTGTGACAGGTATTGTGCAGAACACCCATAGAAACGAACTGTCCTGTCACAAGTTACGTCCATACACGGCTGAATAAAAGCTGTCATTCCCCTATTTCCATACATTAAATGCTAAGGTTAATGAGCTTTTATTAGGAAAAATCCTGTTTCTACTGGACTGACAAAGAAAGCTTTAAACAATTTTTGTCCACGTGACTTTCAAGGAAAAAGAAGTCAGACAGGATCTACCATTAAGCATCTTTTTATTGTAGTCTTTAATGTACATGCAGAATTTTTAAAAAAGGTGTCAGTTATATCTGTAAGCTTATAACAATAATGTAAATGTTTGGATCAGCAATGTATTTGGATCAGGGACTAAGAAATCTAAGTGAACAGACATCTTTCAGGATATACAGTTTATATGGTAATCAAGAAGGTTTTCTTTGGAGTGATTTTCCTCATAAAAAGATAAAATATTTCTTGTTTACAATCTTGGTTGTTTTTAATACTGAAAAAAATCTATAATAGTACACTCTTCATTATGTACATAGAAAAACATAAAACTATATCCATACCAGTGTCTGTTTTAAATGCAAATAGTAGTTAATAGCTTTGTAAATTTTTGTGCACCCTCTCCCACCCCCATTTTCCCTCCCCCACCCCCACTTTAAAATGCAGCATTTCCTAAAGTTTTCAATGCTTTGGCAGAAAGAGAATGGAAGGCACTTCCATGTTAGGTAAAGCAATACGTGAAATATCAGCACTAAATAAAAAAAGCTGTAGGTGTACCAGACAGCTCCATGTTCATCCCAAGGGATGAAGTTTGCACTCCTGCGTGTCACGAACTGGTTTGCTAGAGATTCCAGCTGGAGCAGGCTCAGACCCCAGCTTGGTTTACAATAAAGCTGATTAGCCTCACAACTATTTTTACAAATGCTTCACACAAACCAATGAGGATGCAGAGAGCATCTCTGAACACAGTACTGTCATGAGGGCAAAAAGCTCTTGCAGGTCACAGCATCAGAACATGTCTCAAAGGCCCCTCTGCTGAGGCCTTCCACTTTGCAACACGCTAGTTTCACACAACACCCTCTGTTTAAGACTTCCTGATGTGGAAACTCAGCTAAAAATGAACAAAGCAACACACAAATGTGAAGATTCTAAAGCATCTCTTGTGATGGATAAATTTAGACTCAGCAAAGCATCCTGAAAACGATCTGTGTGCTAGTGGCAGGCTGACCTCTGCTGATAGGGAAGTTTTGAAGGCTGTAGAAAAGTTTCTGGCAGGGGCAGCTCCTCCCTGGCCTCCTGTGGCTTGTTTGGCACTCCTTCATTTTCCTTTTAACTCAGGATTATCTCTGGCATACCTGCACTATGCATTTATATTTTGCAAAAATACCCCAGATGCCAATGAGATAAGCACCTAAATGCTTGCTAAGGGATGTGTCATAAGTCACAGTCAGGAAAACATCTCTGTAATGACCAGTTTTAGCTCTCAACTGCAGTTTGTTTCTGCAATCCTAGCAAAGGTTGAGAAATGACTGGATGCAAACTTCTGAGACAGAATGAGACAGAAAGGCACCGACCAAAGCTTTTACATGTCAATGTCTCCAGCCTGACAAAATGTTAAATTTTCAGGACATATGCTAGTTCAGTAATATGTTTACTTAACTAATTTATCATACTGCACAATATCTGACCACGACTGTAAATAGCTGCAGTCAACTGACAATCCAATTGAAAAAGAACATTCTGCTAAAACCTGCCAGCTGGTCACGTTCATTCTGCTGTGATAGCTCTGCACTCTTTAGCCACAATAAAATGAATGGCTTTATAGTGTTGGAAAGCATTTTTGTCATTCTTCAGTATCACTGTGGATTTATCTCACAAGGAATGAAGGGTAAGATAAAAAGGCATCCAACAACACTTCAAATCTCTGAATTGAACAGCCAGCAAAATAATATGCAGCTGGCATGGAAGAATAGCCCTTTAAGGTTAGTTTAAAATGCAGACCAAAGTGGGTGGGGGGGGAAGGCAAAAGAAAGGGAAAAAAAAAAAAAAAGGGCAAGTAATCCAGTAAGAATGAACAGTAGAAAAAGAAACTGAGCAAGTGATTCTTTGTTTTGGGCCAGTCCACCACCAGTTGCTGTATGTTGCTTTGGGAAACACAAAACTGGCACCAAAACACTCCAAAAAACACAAAACCTTCACCCCCTTCCTAGGCTGATGGCTCTCCTTGAATTGTCCCTCAGATCTCTTTCCGTACTGTGGCTCGGATGCTGCTGAACACTCTGCCTATGGCCTCAAAGAGCGGGTCACAGAACGTGTGGATGCAGATGGAATAGACACGGCTAATGCACTGGATCTCAATCAGGTAGCTCCTTATGCACGGCACCACCGCCCAGATGTGCAGGAATGACAAAATGGCAAAGTAGATGCCCCAGATGAGAGCCATAGGAATACCAAAGATTGCTGACAGTAAACGGTAAAACCAGTATTTCGTTACAGTGAAGGTGGTAAAACTGGCCTTCCAAATCCCATCAAAGCTGTGTGTTCCCTCTGGCTCAGCAATCACATCTTCAAAATCGATCTGCAGCAAAGAACACAAAGTCAGGTCAGTCAGACATTCGCATCAAGGGTGTATTCCAGAAACACCTTTCCTGGAGAGCTATGGTCCCCTGCAGGAAAACACCAAGCACGTACTTCCTACACCCTCATGTGATTCAATCTATTATAACCCATGATTTAAGTCATGAATCTTCAGTAACCTTTACCCAGTGACTACCAGGGAGCCTCGATGATTAGCTCAAAATTAGACATCTAACTTCTAGATGGAGTTTTCCACAAAACAGAATATATCTTCCACACCTCCTACAGCCCTAAGGTATGCAATGCCCTTCTGGTCTACTTAAGGTACGAAACAGGTGAATAAAATCATATTTCATTGTTTTGACTATTCACAAGTCACTCAAAAAGCCACCGAAGGAAACAGTGCATTCCAACATGCATATTTTAGCACTCTCTGTTGAAATACTGAGTTGTTCAGGAAGCTTAATTGTCATAACATTTCTATAAGAATATTAACAGAATTGCAATGATGGTTCAGCTCCATGTCACACAGACATGTTTGATATAACCCACAATACAGGATATTTAATTTAGTCAGCACAACCAATTGTATAGGCACTGCTAACAACAGGAAAGAGAACATCACAACACTATTCCTCTGCAAGGAAATAAATGGCTGTTTAAATCAGATGAAAGAAAAAAAAATTTGCATTCCTGGGACTGGATCCTGAAGCAAGATTATAATTCTGCCAAAAGTGAAGATTTACAGGAGCAAGGTAAGTATGACAGGGGCCAGCAGCCTCAGAAACTCAGGCAATTGTACCTTAGCATGCTGGAAGAAGAAGGTGAATATACATATGCTCTGTGTAAATACTGCTTACACTGTAAGAAAAGGCTCACAATCACTTCTTTTAGTCTAAAATATAAATAACAATTGAAAAGTACTTGTTCTTTGCTCCTGCTGAAACTTTTATCACCCCAGACATAAGTTACTAGCAAAGGGACAAATATTATAATGCCACTGGACTTTCCAGCTTCTTAGAGAAAAAAGATAATTACAAGCAGAAGTGTACAGTCTAGGTGCAATCTATGTGAATGGCTGGTAAGCCTTTGAGAGGAAATTTCTGAATTATCTGTGATATCCAACACCTTGAATGCCTAACACCAGGCTGGCTTAATTGAACATATTCACATTGCTCTCTATGCCAGTGCTCCTCTCTAGACATCCTGTCATTCAAATTATAAACCTCCTCTTTTTCTGCTACTCTGAACTATGTTCTAGTGATCTGAAAGTCATTCTTTGGGATGGATATTAATTATCATCATCACCATCACACTTATAGGTAGCATTTGAGTTGAAACTTGATCTTCACGGAGACCTATGTCAGACTCTGCACTGGCAGAGTAGGTTTTCTTTTTAGCATACATAGGCAAGCAGACATACAATCTGCTTCTGCAGCTATTCAAAAGCAAACTTTTCATTGTAGCCACATCTCATGTTAGCTCGCTTTCAAAGTGAATGGGTGTTCTTGGCTTTTTATCAAAATTTTCCTTGAAATCAGATAATAAAAATATCCATATGATGGCAAAACCCAGGATGACAATAGTAAAAAAAAGCTGCTTCTCAAAAAATATTACTACATAAGGACTACATGGTTCAGCATAGCCCTCTTATTCTAAAACTTTAGTCAACTTATTGCATGCTTCCCATCAGCTGTTGCTGTAATCCTTGGTAAAGGTAACACAGCCATCACAGAGGTTCAAAGCATGGAGGGCTAGTCAGTGTCATATCTAAAGTCTTTTCATTAATTTCAGTTGTAGTGGAAATACCATCTTGTATTATTTCAACTGGCCGAGAAGGGAAATATTAGATCTCATAAGGAAAAAAAGTTTGCATTGAGCTCCATCAGCCTTTTCATGGTTGCATCTTTATTTTAGCCAAGTGAGACCTATTTTTATCAGAAATGCATTTTTTTGGCAAGCACAATGAAGCCACAGTTGAATTTTAATTTTTTAGATTTAAAAAAATATATAGTAAAATTAGCCCATAATTTGATTACTTTCAAAGTAATTCCTTGTAATGAAATGGCAAATGGAAGCCAATAAACTCACTGGTTTTCAAATCAAATAGTAAACTTTCTGTAATTGTGATTCTCAGTAACTAATATTTTTAGCCTGTTGTGTTCAACAAAATGTCCGTGGAGAGCTGGGGAGCTGACAGAAGAATCATGGCATATAACATTTCCAGATGGACAGCCCTGTATTGCTTCCAGGAGATGATGCTAATATTAGAACATTTATGATATATCTTTGGTCAGGATTTCCCAGCTCAAGTCATACATTGTTGTCCTAAAACACTCAGGAATGGATCTGTCTGTGAGATAACAGCGATGTATTCACGACACCAGTAATTATCAAGAGGTTAGCTTCTTGGAGCAATTTCAACAGCTCTCAGAATGTTTCTAACAATGCAGAGAAGTAGAAGAGATGGCCCTGTAGGAATGGTAGCTGATGTCACACTACTGACTACTGTGTCTGCCCATTTCATTATTCCTCAAATTCTATTTCACATTTCTCCAGTTTGAATAAGGGAGTGAATGAAAAGACAAAAATGGCCTGACAACTTAAACTCTTAGCTGAATACAGTGTTAAAATGAAGCTGTTATCTTCCCAAAAGCTGTAAGAACATTATGAAACATAAGAACGTTATGTACATGCCAAGAATTTATGGCTGGCACATGAACCTCTGCGGTGCTGTCCAAAACCAGACTTACCTGCAGCAATGTCTAAATAAAGACAGGCAAGGAGTTGAGGTATCTGGGCTTTTCTACTCATGTGCTAAGAGAACACTGCCTGGGAAACACTATTTATTTCACTCTTCAAGCAGTACAGATAAGTCCTTATGCTGCAGGAACTGAGATATCACTCAGCTTCTTCCTGCACTAAACCACTCCCATGATGGATCCTGATTTTAACTTAGCCTCCTCAGGCTGCAGGAGGAACAGGTGACTGGATGCATTTTGCCTTGCTATAGATCACACTTACGTCACTCAGATTACTCAGTCCCTCCTTAGTCCCTCCTACTACTCTCCTCTGGTTTTTAGTTCAGTAGCACTCACTGACAGTGAGTGTCATCAGACTGATAAAGGGTGTCCAACTGAAGTAAGGAAAGTAAAAATAGGACTGACAGGAGAAAGGGAAGTGCCCAGAAATATGATCCAACAGAAGACAGACGCTGTCATTTCTGGTAATGAATCTAACTTTCTTGTAAGTATAAGACAACATTTTTAGGGTATTGTTCTCAAGGTTACTTTTGTCAAAGCATCATGTGCATGTAGATCTGTGAACTCTCATTTTATCTACATAAAGATTTTCTTAGGCTGTGCACAGGTCTTTTTTAGTAGATTGCATGTTCCTTGTGTAGTTTGTTCCTCCAGAGCTGTCAGGATGTGCTGTGAAATCACAGAGGCAATTGCCAAGCTAGTGAAAATACATGCATGTTCACTTGTGACAGAAGTACAGGAAATGTGTTTGACCCTCTAAAGGATGCTAATAACTTGCTCTAGCCTTCTGTTTTAGACCAAACTATTAAACACTATCAACTCCTGCTCCATGCCTACAATGCACTTCCTGACTTCAGCTATTCTTTGTTTCCTACTATTCAGTTTGGTAAATCCAGTTTTTACATTGCTTGAAGCTTTTGTCTGATTCTGCTATGAGAATTAATGCAGCTTCTTTTGCTCTGCACTTGTTTATTAAACCCCTATCAGGAAACTGAGGAACCTGCTTTGATTCTAAAATAGATTTATTTACAAGAAAGGGAAATGGTATGGGATTTATTTAAAAGATTTATTTACAAGACAGGCAAAATGTATATTTAAAGATCAGAACTATTAATCAAAAAAGCTTAACAGTGTAAAGTTATCATCTGACTCAATAACATATGCTACATGTATGAAATCAGTTGACCTGCTGACCTTGTCACTTCAAGTCCCTATGTATCAGAAGCTGGCCAGCTGGAAAGGAATATTAAATGCCAGGCTCAAATCACCTACTTACCAGCTGTGCTTCTCTAAAGTTTGTTATTTGATGTTTGTAATATTCATCACATAGAAAAAATTGCTGTGCTTGGTCGATCAGAAAAAAAAAAAATTAAGACCACCAGCATTAGGCTTTGACCTTCATTTCTGTGACTGTAACTATCATAATTCATACCTTTGTGTGTGGTACCTGCATGCTGCCACTGTAGTTGCAGCACACAGTTCACACAGCCAGGCACCACCTCTATTCCACTCCAGAGGAACCCAAACAAGTGCTGAGAATGCCTAAATTTTGGTGTGCTTTCACAGTCTCTTAGAGTCAGTAAGAGGAAGCTTAGATCCTTACTGTATCTCTATTGATTGATCACTAATATGTCCAGGCAGGCAGAACACTTAAATATGTACACATCAGGAAAATGTGACCTGTCCCACTGATGTCAATATGCTTACACACTCTGCTAGACCAGGGCTAAAGTCTAGGCTGAATGTACACAGGAAAGAGTCATAAGCTAGTTTACTTTACATTTTTATGTCCAGAGTGTGGAAACTGTCTTTACTGCTTACCCTGGGCTGTTTTTAAATAGGTTTTCCCTGATTCCAAGACCATAAGTATAATATTGTTTCACTGTATTAAAACATGTCCTGGCAAGGCATGAGGCAGATATGGTTTTTTTTTCTGTTGTAATAAATGCAATTTGTAAAATTACCAAATATATTCAATGTTCTTTAAAGAAACATTAACATAAGAATATGTATAAAATATCACAAAATGGCAAGCCTTTCTATGGCATGGGTCACATTTGGGAGGTGATGTTAAGGACAGATGCAACAGTGTTCTTATGTTGGAGAAGGTTGTGATGTGTATTGTTAAAATAAGAAAATGTGTGAGCATATGAGATTATTATTCCTTTAGCACTTCCACATGCTATTTGGAACTTAAAAATTCCCAGTTACAGTGCCTGAAGAAAAAAGACATCACAGC